TCATGTCTGATTACTATAGAAAACCATTTTCTGTTTAATGATGCCACTGTGCATGGTGTCTTTAAGTTAATGCAACAGGCTAATCACTTCATTTGCTTTTCATTACTTACAGTAATAGAAGGTAATGTCATGTTGTGTGGGAAATTCATTCTATGAAAAAAATTGAAACGGACACAGTCTGTGGAGGCTTAATTCTCTTACTATACATTCCCATAAAGGAAGAACACTCTGAATTAACTCTCCTTTTAGAGTCCAGTGAGCTCCCCTTTGATGATTTTAAAAGGTTTCAATACCAGTGTAGCCTGTATTTCAGTACTCTAGCTTTAGCAGTAGTTTTTCTGTGTGCGCGTCTGTCTGAGCAGGGCATGCAGATACACATCAGTCAGACCACCAAAGACCACCTGGAACATGAGCCCTACATCATTGAGGAAAGGGGCAAAATCTTTGTAAAGGTGAGAGGTTAATATCAGCAATTTACAGGTTCCTTTTTCCTAGTCTCTGTCAATTTAACAGCAAATTATGGCATCTTTTATGCACCGTCCACTAATTGAGATAGACATAATGATTAATACTTTACATATCAGGTTTTGTCAGTCTTGTAGCTGCAATACTTTATTCCAAGATGAGGTGTATCATTTGAAAAATGTGACACCTGCCTTAGCTGGTAGACTGTCCTAGTGTTTTATTCCTGATTTTAGATGAAATGTTCTTTCCAACATGTATACGCAGCATTTTTTTATTCAGACCTCTTTATCTGCTTAATTTCATACAGGGTAAAGGCTACATGAAAACCTACTGGCTGAAAGGAAAGAAAGATCTATCGTTCAAGACCCCGGCAGAGCTGCGCTACAGCAGTGAGCAGAAAGACTCTGAGGACAAGAGCTCTAATGGGTGAGTAGACAAAAGGAGAGCAGTCTGCACCAAAGAATCACTTTTCTACCGTGCACAGTGTGGACTCAGTATGCCCCCTGTTGATTCAGTCAGAGCTGTGCTCATTGCTCCCTGCAGCACCAGACAGGAAGCAAACTGAAAAGCACTTTTGTATGTTAGTCTTGCTGACTACCAAAAACTAAATTTTCACTTAAATGTCAGCACAAAAATTCATGAGACAAAACAGGCAACACAGCACTGCAGAAAATATCCCTTTTAATAATTTAGTCTAATATCAAGAGACTTGTTTTTCATAAAACAAGAAATGAACTATTTGATAAGATAATTCCACTTGTTTCCAGTGCAGTTTATCCCACAGACTAAAATCTTTACAACTATAATCCCTGGGGCCAAATGTAATTATTTCAGACAGCACAGTGACAGGTGTAATATGTCCAGGTGTGAATCACTGTGAATTCAACCAATGTCTAATTGCACTAGTTCCACAAGCACCAATGCGAAGCGCATGGCCTCCAACCTCCACATCACCGGCAGCGATGAGCAAGCGGAAGGGAAGCCAAGCCCCAGCGACCTCCCCCTGGACACCCTGCCCCAACCAGAGGCCACTAACGAGCCCCCCACTATTTCAACCGAGCCTCAGGAGAAGGAGAAAGCCAAAAAGACTAAGAACAACAAGGGGGCCAAGTTGGATGTGCCCCCAGGAAACACAATGCCGGAGTACTCGCCGCCCGCTGACGGGCTGGAGAACCCAGGTCCTTTACTCAACAGCAAGAGAAACAGCTTCAGGCAGCAGTACGCTAAGCTGCCCGCCAATCTGCCCATACGCAGCGCTTCCTGCTCCATTCTGTGAGAGGAAGGTCAGAGTGTAGGAATACAAGACAACGCTGACATGTGACAAGGCTGTGAAGTTTAATCGGGGACAAGACAGAGCAGGCATTTCAATGTTTTCATCATTTATGGTCACAGACGACCTGCATTTTGAATGCCACTGCATGTCAAGGGGTTGTGACAGATGTAGGATTTTGTGACCTTTTGAGTAAAATAAGTCTTCTGGCAACTTAAACTAAAGACCAACACACAGAAAACCTGCATTTTGTCTCTTTGTTTCATTGATTTCCTGCGACGAAGCATTTGTCTGGTATAGAAACTGACTAAGTACTTTTTTAAAGATCAGTTATATCACCTATATGAGTACTGCAAATTTACGGGTTTCATAACATGCCTTCCTTATGTCGAAAAAAAGGAAGTACACCGTCCTCTACACACAAACAACACACGCATAGAGAAACAGAGAACTTCAAAATTGTACTACAGGTAATGACAGCCAGGACAATGAGTGTATTTCTGATTTTCTTTATGCTATTTGCTGTATTATTTTACAGTTCTATGAGCAAACCATGGAGTCTCTGCTATTACTGCTACAGGAATTATGTTCAAACGTATAATGACAACAAATTACAGGATGTTTTGGAAAATTAAAGTAGGCCATTTTGTGACAGGGCTTCCATGGTATCTAACTGAGGCAAGAGCCTCCACATAAACAAAAAAAAACAACAAATTCTATGGCTGCTTCATTTTAATTCACTGAGAGTAGACATCGTCAGAGGTTGTATTTTATTTTGTTTAAACTAGGCGTATGGTAATTCACTAGGCATTTGGCAAGACCTTCACAACATTGTCTTAATGAGTTCTGGGACTTTCTGTATGTAAGTGACTGCATTTGTTCCGCTGTATGATAGTGTTTATTTATATAAAACTGTATGTACAGCAACTAAAGCTGTCAAGTTTTCATTGTTTGTAATTAGGCCATAACACTACTGGTTAACGTGGTTGGGGGTTTCAAAAAAACAACAGGTGTAACCAAAATTCACCTGTTTTTGGGCTTGAGACCTGTGTTACCAGAAAAAATTTAAGAAAAAGCACCACATTGTCACACATAGCAGCCCACACAGTTCCCCAGAACTGCAGAGAGGATGAGTGAACGAGCCTGGCTCAGTGTCATCTGTAGACGCTGCCATGCCTTTTAACAGCCACTAGGAGGTGATAGGATAACCACAAGTTAATGAATAAATTAATTAGTTAATAGAAGCAGGGACTGAGGACAATACACGAGTTAATTTCTGGATCCCTGAGGTTCTTCATTTCTAAAAAAAAAAAAAACAAGTGAGATGGAAGGGTTTTATATCTGATCATGCCACAGGAAGAAAATGAATCCCTGTTAGCTACAGTCTGATCAAATTAAATATCTGACCTCCTCTGAACCAGCATCTGTTCATCTTGATCTGTGCTCACAATCTATCTTGTAACGCTGCGAGCGGAAAGACACCACAAGCGCAGAAAGCAACTAAGCTCACCAAATCCTCCATCCAATTCAGGCTGCAAATCTTCAGGCGCAAATTCCCTGACCTCGGTGGTTATGAGGTCGGTTATTCCTGTCTTAGTCATCTGGTGATAACACACTGCCATTATATGAGTGACTGTATGTGTGTGTGTGTGTGTGTGTGTGTGTGTGTGTGTGTGTGAGAGAGAGAGAGTGAGTGTGTGTGTGTGTGTGAGAGAGAGAGTGAGTAAGGTTAGAAGCTGAAAGGTCTGTGTGATCTTTTAATGAATGATAAGTGACATAATTGAAGTTCCTCTTATTATCTCATAACCAAAAGAGGCAAATGCGTAAGCTGTGTACGGTACCAAGGTGAGGCAGGTAAGAGCTCATTTCAGGACGAGTGTGCTATCTCGCACAAACACATGCAAGCATGCACACACTCACACACGGATATTCAGCGGAGTGCTCTCTGCTGATGTTTCCTTGTGAGATGTCATTACATGATAAAGAGGAAGCCATCAGGAAACCGCTTAAGCACTACTTCCTGTCTGTTGCCACGGTGACAGACCTCATTCTGCAGTTACAAAGTTTACCATGACTTTACTCAAGTTAATTTCTTGCAGAAGGGCTGAGGGGGGAGACAAAACAAAGAGGCAGGTGTGTCTCAGTCTTCACTGCACTCTGGTGGGCTGGTATCCTGTCCAGGCACTCCTCTTAGTCCAGCTGGGTCTCAGCGAGACCTTTAACCCAACATCTGACAACAATTAACATTTGCGAGTGTTCATTGGACGGGTCTTTTTGAATGGCCTGAGCTTCAGCCAACAGCCCTTCAGCACAGCTGGTTGCCATTCAGATTAACCTACAGATAAACACGCAGCTTTTTAAATCAGGAGACACTTCCTGATTCTAAATGAATCACCGAATTCATGACTTCAGACTGGCAGACATGTTGGCTGTAGCTGCCACGACTGATTGCTCTGTTCTTAACAATATCAGGCTCAATACTGGTTTCTCTGGGTTATATCCTACATTACCCTCATCTGTGTTTATATTTCACTCACTCAGATTAGACTTTAGGGAGTTTGACAAGTTTTATGTCAACCAGCTCAAACAAAGCTTCATTCATAAGATTGATATCGGCCTTCAGTTTTTATTAGCCTGCGCTGTGACTACAATCAACCTCACCACTCTAAAAGGGAATTACTTTATGAAGTGTATTTTTCACTATGATAAATTATTCATCAGGGACAAAGTGCAATGTTTGTCAATTCAACTACAAAAAAATGAGGTATAATTAGTTTATGACCATGTTTTAAAAAACCAACAAGATGTAAGGCAAAACCTCAAAGCATGAAGATAAAAATATTTAAGTGTTAAAAATAAGAAAATATGGCAGACATTTAAGAACACACATTTACATGACATTACTGTAACTTCACAACTACAGACTAAAGAGCTACCAGTGCTCTTGGTCCTTAAACTTTATATCGGTAGATTGCTAAAAGTGTTCAGTTTCAGTTCAGTCAGTGAGCTGTGACTGTGAGCACGTGTGTCACACTCAGACACACTCCTGGTTATTCACTGTTTTGACTCTTCCTTGAATAAGAGACAAACATGGAGGGACACGGTGCTCAGTGACACTGACAGGAGCCACATTCCAGCGAAGGTGAACACAAAAACGAGGGCTAAGCCGCTCCCCTTTCAACTGGCTGCATCACTGGATTATTGCTAAATTCTTTCTGGGGTTTTCACTTGTCAGAACAAGCAGAGGCACAACGTCAGCAATACAGAGAAAGCGGGGAGAGAGACAGACGGATTCAGAGAGAGTGCCAAAGTGCGATGAGTGAGGGCAAGAGTGGAACACAGTAGTTGTGAAGAGTTTGAATTTGAATTTCAGAGGGAAACGCAACATAGGCTAGAGAGACCGAGAGAGAGAGAGAGAGAGAGAGAGACACACACACACGCACGCACACACACAACTGAGGGGTGTGTCATAGCAATTTAGTTCCTCAAGGAAGTACAACTCAACATTATCTTAAGACAGTGTGGCACTGACAGAAGCGCTGCAGGAGGGCTGTTTTCTTTTAGGGTTTTGGTTCTGCTCGTGCTAAAGATGAAAGGATCTTGTTAAATCAACCGGCCTGTGCCGTCAACCTGAGATACAGAGCAGAGGGAGAGAGAGAGATCTGACACAGACACGGAGGGAGGGGGACTCAGCACACACACAGGTAAGACACTTCTGCCTTGTTCATGTGCCAGTAAAAAGGTTCCTCTGGGTCCAGATTTGTGTTATGTCTCTTGTTTTTTGTTCATGGAAAAATTAAGAGTATTTATTGTTGGGCGCCCAGCACAGACAGACTCAGAGGGATGATTGGAACAAATTGTGTGACTCTCCACTTCCCCATCTTGAGCGCGAGTTGGGAGACATGCATGTACACTCACAGTCGTGCTGGAACAAGTACAGTGACATGCACAGATGTAGAGCTAACACTTCTGTTTGCACAGGCTGGGAGTTGCTCAACTCCAGTCTCGAGACAGTGAGTGGACTTTCCCTTTACTCATTGGCCTACTTTGATTTGAAGCATGTTAAGTCAGAGCCAAAGACTGTGACAGGTTGAGATCACACTCACACTGCAGTGCAGATTCAAGGGACAAATACAAGCTGTGGGCCTTTGCTGATGACACCCCACCATTTAGCCAACTGCTGTCTGTTTCGCTTCCCTTTTGAGGCATCGCAGATGGGTGGCAGGCTTGAGCAATGACAATTCACAAGAGTTGTGAAATGTTGAGAGAGAGAAACTGCAATATGTACTTTTTGAGGATTTCAAAATGATCCCTAGTCTATTAATAACTGGAAGCATTTTTGTTTAAAACAAGATTTGTCAAATGAAGATTACTAAATTAAATATGAAACCAATTTAATCTTTACAAACTTGCATAAGGAGTTAAACATGCCACTGATGTAAGATAACATAAGAATTACAAGCTACACAAGAATTATAGGTGCAAAACATCTACACATCTCAACCTACAACCATGCTGTCCCTAGTTCAAAACACACAACGGAAGTGACATTACATCTTGGCACAATATTCATCTCACACAGAAAGCTGCTGTGTAAGGGCACAGATATCCTGTAGTTTTACTCTTACTCTTTTCTCCAAGTTAATTAACAGGAGAAAATCTTTCTGTCAGGTCAATACGACCGCCTTTGCAGCTCAGGGATGACCTTTCAACAATGGCCTCCTTGTTTTCATCTGATTGACTGGTTTGGCTTTTTTTCTGGAATATTCTCATTGTTCAAACTGATCAAAGGCTGCAGGTAGAGTAAAGAGACCTATCCCTCCCTCCTTTCAGTCTCACCAGCTACAACCAAGTCAACCCAACCCCAGGCCTGGTGATGAAAGTCAGTGAGGTTGTCTATCTGTCGAGCTCATGGTAACGAGGCTCTGCTGCACTCTAATAATTTCGTAGACTGAGTCAAAGGGGGCTTCCTGAATCCCCCTCTAAGCCCACACACTCACGCACACACACATGCACGCATGTACACACGCACACGCTGGAAAGGGCAAGGACACAAATACACAAAAAAAAAGAAATCAACGTGTTCTTATTCGCAAAAATTTATGAATGCAAGAAAAACCATGAGAAACGACTTTTACTCAGAAATGCACATCCTCATGCACAAGCTCATACAAGCACGCAAACACTCAATGCTGGAGTCATCTCAGGAATGCTAAATATTTACCTCTCCTGCCTGCCTGGATGGCTCAACCAATCATCACTCTCCCTCTGACTCTCCATTAACCTAACACGTAAAGATTCCTCACCCCCTGGTGTTACAGTTACTATGAAATGAATGATGACCATGTCTACTGTGATAGCACCACCGCTGCTCTTATTAACAGATGCAGCCACGTGGCTGGTATTGTTTTCACCTTGTGAGTGAGTGAGCGAGTGAGTGAGTGAGTGAGTGAGTGAGTGAGTGAGTGAGTGTGTGAGTGTGTGTGTCCTGAAACACCCACTGTAGCAGGAACTACCACAGATACTGTTTTGAGTACTTTGGCAGTTGTTTATATGAGTGTAGACAAATTTTGTCACCGCAACAGCGTCACAACTTTGCAAGATACAGTCATGAAACTTTACAGGTCTGTAGTTAACATCAAAATGAAGGTCAGATTCAAAGATGGGATGGGTGTGGTCCAACCCATATGTGATGAGTAGTCATGTAATAATGTAGTAATAACTACTAAGTACTCATGCAATAAATTAGAATAATAACTACTATGTGTTCATAGTTTGGAACATCAACATGTTGACGTGATCCCATCGCAAAATGGGGTCTAGTTATTTTTCATTTTGTTCCCCTGACAGTATTAGATCTCACACAGTATACAGGTGCTTGTCAATTCCAGCTGGTGTTTGGGAAGGAAACAAACACTTGAACATGTAATGCAGTCAGTCCCTGGTGTGTGTCAACAACAAACCAACACTTAAAGGCCCTCTTCAGTCCATGTGTACCAGAAAATTGATGCTCAACATCAAAAGCGTCCTTGATGTGACCGACTGAACGACGTCCATTATAGAAAAGTGGTTTCATGGCAATGTGCTGATGTTACACAAAAATGTTTCAATGCTCTCCAAACAGCCTCAACCCCCTGATAGATCTGCATAAAATAAACAATGTAGATGAACAAAAAGCCAAGTGACGAGCAGTCTCCTGCTGTGGGAGTTACATTTCTCTATGTGGAACTCTGGCTGATGACTACACACTGTGCATGTCCCTCAAATCCCTGTAGTCTTTTTAGCAAATAAATGAGATTGAAGCATGAATCTGAAATAGCTATCACGCTGCTCCACTTCCATTATCACCGTTAAGGGAAATTAATCTAATGAATGTTCTTTAATTCCCCACAGGGAACCCGAAGCTTTGGTAACAAAGCAAGCTATTAGAAATGTGACACTTGTTCAAAATGAATGGTTGTGCATGTAAAACGCAACCTAGTGAGATATCCTATAAAAGTGACTGTTTGCTTATTATGGATGTTGCAGCTGGGATTAGGGTGCAAGCCAGTGATAGGGGAGAGTCACAGCAAGTACTGCCTATTAGCATGATATGATCGTTAATGCGACTGGACCACTTTTCCGTTTATTAGTGAGCCGTGGAGTCATTTGCTAACACTGCTGACTGTGCATTACTGAAGTCGGACAATGAGTATCCCATCATTTCAATAACACCATCTAATACGCACAAACAGGCATGGAAGAAACACATTAAAGCCACTATCAGGAAGTCATTTAACTGACAGATTACAGACAATATGCTGTTGTTAACACACAGGATATATCAGCAACGGACTAGCTGTTGTTTTACCCAAAGGCAGACCCCAGGCCAGTAATTAAATTAGCCATTGGGTTCAGGGTGCTCGCATTCTGTTCTTGCCCACGCTGCTGATGGAATCTGGAAACAGCAGGCAAGGACCTGCCTCAGCTATGCGGCCTACATGCTCCTCTCAAGTACTTGTCCACACAAGTCATGGAAGTGGGATTCAGTTCACAGAATTACACTGAAAGATGTTCAGTAACTGGTCTTTGAATACCGGCCTGTTCGCACACTCTGGGTCTGTACATGTGTGAAAATAAGAGAAAATGACACAGGAAGTAGGAGAGGTTACACAGCTGTCTCTGTGGCACTGATGCATACTAGAGATACTATAACTCTTTCCTTGATTCTGTTTTTGTTATTGCAACTCTTTCGATTAAGATGACGTTTGCGTGTTTGTGGTATTGGAGATGTAACTATGACTTATCTACCAAGCATAAGTATTGTACAAGGACACTTATTTACTTAATCTATTATAAGAGTCATATTACTCTGATCCTTTCAGCCTCTATTTGTTATTTTGATGATGATGGAATTTAACTTCACTTTGCTTGCCCAGCTTTTATACACATCTTTAATAAGAACATCAGCTAAATAAAATGTAAACGTAGTTTTCCTCTGTCAGTGATCCACTTCAAATCTGCCTGCTTTCTTGTTAGAGATTAGGGGAAATTAAACTGAATTAAAAAGGAATTAAGTCAGACTGTGTTGACAATCAAAGATAAACAGTGGATTCTGTAGTTCTGTCATAGCGTGCTGTATGAATGCTGATGACCTCCCAGGGGGTTCTCTGTGATGGATGCTAGGTGTGGTTAAAATCTCAGTGGAGAAAATAAAAGCCTCTGTGGAGTCTCTTCCATGGTACTTTTCCCTTCTGGCATCATATGTGCATGTCAGATACAAAAACAAACACTGCAACTATCATTAGATAAAAACAGAGATTCATATTAGACAGAATGTATTGTATTTTCAGTGTTTGTTAATTTAATGCTGTGGGGATATCAATTCATCTTTAGTTTTCTAAATATATACGTTTGAATTATCAATAATGGCGGTACTAGAATGTACTTCATTGATGAGGTGTCATTATGGATGACAATCTGAAGGTTAGTGAGCCCCAGTAATGACTGGAAGGTCGCCACTTCAAAACCTTAGATGATCTACGAAATATGGATAAGAGAGGTGAACAACAGGTGTTGTCCTCCCTATCCGCCACAACAAACTGCCTGCCCTTGAACATGGCACTTAACCTCCACCAACTCGAGTGGAGCTACTTGCTGTTTGGCAGTAAAAAAAAGGCTGAAGTTGTGCTGATTGGTGAAAAAATGTTGTTCCTCCTCTTATTTTACAGTTATTACCATGAACACCTTCTTTTCTTAAGTGGAGCAGGCAGTCATCTTACTATTAGCCCTTTTATTCTTATTCATGTCATGGAGAAGGAGGTGGTGTACCTATTCCTATTCTTTGACTATTGATGCCCTGGATTTATTGTAATCTGGTGTCAGGTCAGTGACAGGGAATCTTTCATGGCTACAGCAAGAGAGAAATCCAAATTTTTATGTGAAATACAAACTACATCGTATACACCCAGTGAGCGGTCACGCCATTTAGAGAAAACTGGAATAGTAAAGGAGTATTATGTGAAGATTACAGATGTTATGTTGAATGATTTATGGGCATTAAGTCCTAATGTTTTAGCTGTCACCACTGTTGGAAACTACTAATTTGCAACAATTATGTCTACAGTTTTAATCACTATCTGTCTCTACACACAATTTAAATATTCTCAAAGAGAACAGCTAAATGCTTTTTTGGATAATAAAACTCTTGAATGGATCTGTTATTATTTACAAGGTCTTTCTTTATCAATATTGTTGTTAAAGTGCCCTTTCTTTTTCTTGACAATTCAGCCAACCATGGACGCCTTCAGTTCCAAGGACATGGCCATGAAGGCCCAGAAAAAGATCCTCAGCACCATGGCCACCAAAAGCTCTGTGCAAATGTTCATTGATGACACCACCAGTGAGATCCTGGATGAACTGTACCGCATCTCCAAAGAGTACTCTGGAAATAAACCTGAAGCTCAGAAAGTCATTAAAAACCTGATCAAGATTGCGGTGAAGATCGGCGTGCTGTTCAAAAACAACCGCTTCAGCAAAGAAGAGCTGGGAGTGGCCCAAGAATTTAAGAAAAAGCTGCACCAAGGGGCCATGACAGCTATCAGCTTCTATGAGGTACACTTCCATCTGTCAACTTTTTAATGTACAGGATGTGCAATGTTAGACTTAAGAACTTCTTGTTATTCTAGATCTGAAACAAATGCAATTAAGGGTTAAGAATATTTCCAGTTTATTTCCACACAAATAAATTAATAAAATAGGAATAAGGACACCAGTAAATTAACTGTTTAGGAACAAAACGCCAAATTAAGTTCAAATGGATGTGATGAACACAAAACACATTAGTACACAGTATACAACCAGTATATGGTATTTCAATTCTGTATTCAAGCGTAAACATGTTCTATATGTGGCACAAACTTTCTATGAAGTGTTTGGTGGTTTTATTTTAGTTCAACGACATATTTAGTAAGTCTAATTTACCTGCCTGTTTCCATCTCTGCTTTCATAATGTGTGACGGAACTTAAATAGGTTTGTATCACATACCTATATTTACATCATAATGAAAATTGCAAGGAGAAGTGTAGATAGCTGTATCTAAATATTCTATTCAGTTTCCTTTTTCAAGGACATGCAGCTATCCTGATATAGGACTTTATTATTCTGTTTCTGTATTACTTGTATTAACACAGTCACAAATCCCACACTCAAAAATGTAAAATGTCATCAATTTTCTAACAAAAATGCGTCTCCTGACTGATGCAGGTGGACTTTACCTTTGACAAGGCAGTGATGGCAGAACTTCTGACGAGCTGCAGGGACCTGCTGCTGAAGCTGGTCAACACCCACCTCACCCCTAAATCCCACGGTCGCATCAACCATGTCTTCAACCATTACTCTGACACAGAGCTCCTGACCAAACTTTACGACCCCAGCGGCCCCTTCCGACCCAACCTCACCAAGATCTGCAAAGGACTCAACAAATTGGTGGAAGAAGGCACAATATGACGGAGAAACAACAAAATGTCAGTCAGACACTGGGAGATCTACAGGCACACGCAGCTAAGACTCTGAACTTTTGGAGAAAATTGGTCTTACTGCTGCTGAGGACTGGCAACATAAGACAAGTGATTTGAGAACAGTACTGCTGCCCCATTGTTCTCAAAGAACATGTGGGATATAAATAAAGTTGGTTGAGTCATTCCTCAAGTTTTTTTTTTTTTTTTTTTTATGTTTAGAGATGATATATATTGTAAAATTGTGATCTGTATTTGTCTTTTCAGACAAAGTTCACAGAAACCAAACTTGAATATCAACTGGTTTATATTATATCTGCTGTTCTATTACATAATGAAATGTCATCCAATGTTTAATATTTGAAATGTTTTATTCATAACTACTGATGTTATGTATTATGCAGAGGGGGAGTGAATACAGCCGGAAAGACCGCATAAAGAGAACAGTCCAGGGAACAATGCCACTGTAATACAGCACTGCCATCTGGTGGTCAAAATCATGCATCAGCAACCCAATATACTGCATTTACTGAAACATCCAGAAGGACAATGCAGACAATAATAAAGCAAATAACCTCAGAGAGGACAATTACTCCCACCATTACTTTGCAGTTTCAAAACATGTTTCGAAGCATCACCACTCTTACATGGTGTTGACTGCGTGAGTTTGAATGTTAATCCTATAATTCATGTTTTTCTGAGAAATGGATCACAGTCATTGGCTGACATGTTATTCTTTGGTTTTCTGTGATAAAGACATTGAATTTCAAAAGACAAGGGAAAGTCAAGTCCTGACTAGACATTCCACCTCATATAATAGCCAAATACTGTAATAACTGCATAGTGATTTTCCTTTGTGCAAGCAATAATATGGAACAAAGTCAGTTACAGTTTTTAAAGATCAAATGCTAATGAGACTTACCTTTTTGAGCGCCAAGATAGCTCAACCTTGTAAGACAAATGTGGACAAACATACACTTAGGCCTGAACCTAAACACCTGGGATCAATTTTTTTTTGTTTTATTTTAAAATGAACTATACAAAACATAAATGAAATGAACCAAAAACATTCCCATAACAAACAATAAAAAATATTGCTGTCAAAATATATTCTACAAAACATGTCTCTTTTTTTTTTTTTTTTTTTTTTTTTTTTTTTTTTTTAAACTTTGGCTACATTGGAATTTAAATTCTTCAGCAGTGACACACAAAGACCCATTTAGGAGCAATTTTGTGCTCTCAATATTACAGTGAACATGAATTATACACTTTATATACCATGGCTAAAGGTTTTAGTTAGAAAACTTGGCCACCTTTGCGTTACCAGGCTGTGAGGTAGCATCACACACAACCACATGCTGACCATATGACTGACTGACCAGTCATATGACAAAACCATGTGACTGTAAATTCTGATTTTTAACATTTCACGCTCTTATTTCGTGCATGTGAAATCAAGCTCTGAAAAAAAAACAGCTATGGGCCATAAAAGGATTTTCAGAACCTACAGCATAGCTCAATAAATAAAAAACAAGGCTACAAGAGTGCAATATTAAATTAAAAAGACTTGTTAAAAGACAGTGTAACTTCCAATTACAAGGTCTATATTAAATAGTACTATGTAAAAACCATACAGCAGCAGGAGGATCACAATAATATAATATAATATATAATGCTCTTTTGTCTGGGAGGCCAAACCCAGTGACATGGCTTTCTGGAAAAGTTTTTTTAATGATCAAGGTGAGACAGCTGAAAACATGTCACAGCTCAAATATCTCATCTTCCCTGTCTCTCAGTTTCTTGGTGAGTTTGGTGATAGTGAGGGGGACTGCCCTATGTGCTGCCTGCTGCTGTTGCATCCTGGAAGATGAAATGACACTCTGTGACCGTGTAAGAGGCCGCCAGTCTGATGTCCTGCTGGTACAAGCTGCTTCTAAGGCGGCAGCCCTGTGAAGAAACAGATGAGAGGATACAGTAAGTCTGAAGACTGATATGATTCACAAAATCAGCCTGCACTCATCTTTGGCGGCTTTGAAAGACTACCTCATGCTCTTAGAGTATGAGTCTGCTTAAATATCAAACCAGCTTCTTATGAATCAAATTCACCTACAACTCAAGAGTCAATGGAGGAAGTGGTTCATAAGAATGGGGAAGTGGAAATCTGATGGCATAACATTTCCCCAAAAATGTGATTCTGCAATGCAAACTACTATGGATGTAAGTTCTAAGAGATACACAAAAGCTAAGCGGCTTGATGCATAGTGGAATTTGCACACTCACATCTAGGAAGGCAGGCTTATACACATTCACTAATACTTTTTATAAGTCAGCATGATGAAAATATGTCCAATACCCACACCAACTGTTTGGTCTTTGGGAGTGACATAAAAAACAAACAAATGACTGAGAATGTCAAACTGCAGCACACAGGTAAATAAAATGGCGAGACTTTAGGACTCTGTCACACAATAAACCATGTCTGAACAACCTGTGTAAACAAGCAAACAGTGAGAGCCATGCAGTCATACCTTTTCTCTGCTTCCTCGCATCCTTTGACAGCAGCCTGCTTGGACTGATTTATCAAATCATCCAACCTTTTCAAAAAATCTACTGGAGTAAGGTCTGATGCCCTTTCTTCACCATCATCTTGCTTATTCCAAGAGGAGCTCCCAGTCTGCCCATTTTGAGCAGGAGCACAGCCAGTATTGTCTTTCTCACCCTCCTGTTCTGCCAAATCCACCCCGTTACTGCAGTCATCCAAGTCTGACAGCACAGGGATTGATAAAGATTTCTTCAGGAAAATGGAGTCATTGGTGTACAGCCTGTTGGCTCTTTTGATTTGCTCCATCTGTAAGAGAATGACCTCGTCAGCCTTTTGTAAATTTCTTTTAAGCTTGTCTCACTTAATTCTAAAAAGTTAGTTGATATGTTTTGCTTTATTTTACTAAAATCACACACAGGACAGCACTCAAATCATTTTTTTATGCATTGATGTTTTGGTCAGATGCCCTTTCCTTGACAACTGAATTAACAATTAAACTCAAGATGCTGTCCTGCATGTGATTTTTGCTCTTCTATCAATTTAGCAATCTTTAACACATACTGGGGTTGAGTGTGCTGATGCATTATCCTCACATCCAAAATATAAATACTGATGAACGAACAAATAACACATTAACAAAAGCAATAAGACAGCAACAAGAAAAATGTACATAATACACATATTTAAAAACTATAAAAAAAATAAAATTTTAGGACTGCAACTAATAGTTATATTGATTATCAACATTTTAAAAAGTATTTTTCAATATTGCTATTCAGTTAAACAACATATTGTTTCAGCTCTGTCAATTACACTTTTATGTACGTTTTGTAGGCCTACATCCCAATATTGCATAAACAGACAGACAACATCACAACATTATACATTTCTATCAAAGTTTAAAATAATTGATAAAAGGCACACACTAGTTGCAGGGGTGACTGTTTAAAGCCAGTTGGTTCTGGTTCATACTTACAGTCACTCCATATTTCAGGGACAGGCCTTGTAGTGTCTCTCCTGGCTGAATTTTGTGTTCAATGCGTCTCTGACGAACCGGAGAGAGCGGAGAGCGGACCAAACTGCCGTAAGATCTCGTGCGGCTCCCGCGGAGCAGGCCATTCCCATCGGCTGGCAAAGGCGCTCGTCCGCCGGACATGGTCGTGAACCACTTACGCTGACATTAAGCTCGCAACCGACCAAGGAAATACGGTTAGCAGCAAACTTCAAGGTTTTTCATATCCAGAGAACATAAGTTACTTAGCCTCAATATGTTCTTAAAGTAACAAGCTAGCAGCTTAGTTAGCTTGCTAGCTAAGTTATCAACTTAATTAACGTTGACGCACCTTCTTTTTTCGACTGTCAAACAGATTGTATCTTGCTAGCGTAACTTGTCGGGTCCTTGCCACAACGTATTACAGTAACTTACCTAACTTCAATTTTAACCTACCTCATCTCTCAAACAAACGCCTGAAAAGCTGCTGAGAAGGTTGTTAACGTTATTGTTTTCATGACTCCTGCGGTCAGCTGCCTGCTACCATATGTTGCCATGGCTGCCGTGTGGAGTGGCCAGTCACTGGCGTTGCATTCAATACAACTGGAAGAAACCCTCACAAACCGAAGCCTTATATACAGTTTGTGGTTTTAAACTTAATTAATACAATGCCACAAGGTGATTGGAGATTTCTGCTTATTTTGCTGTCTTCTGGTCGTTATACACACGTTGACAAGTAGTGTTTATCGGACCTAATGTTTAAAGGTACATTGAACACTACCAAGCCAAATCAAATGCAAAATATAGTAGGCTACTGAGCTTAGTCATAACGTTGTAATAGTTGTGTTGACTCTCCAAAACTAAGGAATATAAGAAGAAATCGATAGCAATTAAAAAATATTGTGGTAAAAACAACATAATGCCTAAAACCATGCTGAACGGTATTTTCAAATTGGAAGTTCGTCTTTCCTATTTTCACGTTTCAGTGGAACGCATCATCGTCACCAGGAATTAGCTTGTCGTTTTCGTGAAGTAGCTAGCTTGTCAGCTAACCTGACACAGCCATCTATTTTTAGATTATCAAACATAATAAGTATGTCTTTTAAAAGGGAAGGTGATGACAAGAGTCAGTTGAACATCCTGAAGGTAACACTTTATTTTTTTTTAGCTTTTCTAGGAAATAGTTCAGCTGAGATTATACGTGTTGTTGTCGTTAGCATGCTGCTAGCTAACAACAAATTGTAGTGTTGTTTCTTTGAAACTGTTGCCAAAGTACAAAAAAGAAAAGAATTAACCACTCTACTATTGCTTTTTCATGCCTTGTCTTTCAGAAACGGCGTGTGGCAGATCTTTTGTCTAATTTTATTCCCGAAGATGAAGCAGCTCTTATGAAGAATGGAAGGTGAATTAATTTGCAATACTGATATGTTTTTGGGGAGGAACTCTTGTGTTAACAGCCTTTAAGCTGTTAAAGTCTGTTAACACATAGTAACAGATAACAAGAAGCTGAAATTCATCCTGTGCATTTGGTTTCTACAGATACACTTGCCTTGTGTGCTCCTACCGTCCGGTGTTTGATACAGTTGATATGCTGACAGTCCACAGGAAGGGGAAAAGGCACCTAGAAGGTGAGCGATTTAAAGCCGACTCGTGACTGATGATGTTTGGTTTGGCGTTATTGTGTGGCAAATTGTTTAGATGATGATTTCTGATTCTTCCCAAGGTTGTCTAGTTTAACTTTCTCAATAGGTAGCCTCTCTTGTAGCTGTATTTGGGGTTCAACAGGTGTAAAATTTTTCATCTCTATGTCTGCAAAATAGTACTTTTACCTTATGAAATATCTGTCATCTAGGATTGCAACAATTCATTCTTATTATTAGTGATTACTCTGTCGATTACTTTTTCATTCAGTTAATCATTGCAGCTTTACTGCCATCATTTATGGGACTAAGACAACCATAATGATGACCGTAAAAATTTGCAGTGTGTAATTTACTGCAATTTCACTGCAATTTTCAACAGTTACTTGTGAATACATTTCTACTGCTAGCAGTGGGTAATATGTCATTTTATTATTATCTTATTTACAGTGATATATTATTTTGGAAATTGAGTGAACTGACAAACTGTCAATACATACAATAACCAGACTGGAATGTCTGTGTTTGAAAAATTCAGCAAATAAATTAAATTCCTCAAAAGTCACTTTATCGCAATGATGCAAAAATCAAATAACAGTAAAATCCAATAGAGCTGTCCAGCTCATTGATTTGCAGCATTGCTCAGGATGCCATACTACAAACAGATATTGAATGTATAGCTGCAGTACTATAAATAAATGGTATGCTTTGTAATGGTTGACACATTTTTATTGCCTCACAGTATATATCATCATGTTGCCCAACCCTAGATATATACATGAGTTGGGAAATAACGATTGTTCCTTTTTTATGTTCTATTTCTTCAGGATTAAAATCATTCTATGGCAAGAAAGCGCGGCTGAAAAATGAAATAACAAAAAGGCAACATGAAAACTACATCCAGGTTGAAGACAGAGAACAGGTTGGTAACTGTAACAGTTAGGAGCATCAATTTTGTTTGATCTGACAAGTCGCAGTTTAGTTGAATTAGCAAATGTTTCAGAATGTCTTGATACATGAAGTAGTGCAGAGAAATTGTGGAACCCAGGAACAACAGATATGTTGTTGTGTGTATTGTGTGGCAGCCCTGTGACCCTCATATGACCATGACAAACCTACCAACCAATTTAAAGTGGTTGTCTGTTGTGGAAAACATAAACAACACTTGACGGAGCATTTGGTGGAGTTGATGACTGAGTGAGCTCCCAGTAGCATTTGAGAAATTTCTACAGTCCGCACAGACACACATAAAGCATGTTGTTGTGATTCTAGGAACCATCCAGTTCAGCCCCTTTACTTGAACAAACACGGAAGCTTACACATCACGCTTTATTGAAGACTGTACCATACAACAGTTGCCATCGAAAAACAAGGTGAGTGAGATGCTTTTTTAATACTCAAATTCCCACATGTACTTTAAGTCTCAGAAAAGGAATAAAGGGAAAAAGCAACTTTAAATGTAAACCTGTGATTTTTAAGCACAAAATCTGAAAAGGGACCAGAAAGCATCAGCTCCGATCCCAGTGGCAACGCCAGCAGCAAAATGCCATCTGAGCAAGAACACATGAGTTGGAAATCTGAAGTTTCAAACAGTGTACCGCCAAGCAGCTCTAGTAGCTTCACAGCAGGTAAAGTCTGTCACAGGAAATCTTTTATTTTCAGATTTAGTGTTGGAGAAAACCCAGGCCAGATCATGTTTTAACTGTGGGGATGTTTTGTCTCCTGTAGCCAATAAAGAGTTACATCCATCAAAAGACATAAAAGGATCTCATCTTACAGTGGCACAGGAGGCAGAGCCCATAACAGCCCAGAGGAGGAGCGAGCTGGAGCACTACCTCAAACTGAAAAGGTACAGAACAGTTTTTTTTTTCTGTTTAAACTGGCTGTATTTTTGACTGTACACATCTCATTGTTTACAGTACATTTCACCTTTTTCTTTTTCATAGTGATGGGTGGCTACAAGACCGCAGTGGCCAGTGGATTAAAGACGAGAATGTTGAGTTTGATTCAGACGAGGAGGAGCCTCCTTCGCGTGCCAGCCTACCCACAAGTCACTGAGAGGACTAAGAACTGTGGGAACACAACACAGATTAACTTGTACCACAGTGGTACGTTCAGAAGTCACGGTGCTGTTTGAAACAGCCACAGCTCCACATGTAAGGACTTTGTGTAACAGATTTATGCATTTCATAGAATCACATGGTTTCCTTGTGTTGACTCTACAGCGCCTTCCTGTGTAATCTCTGGACTCAGTCATGAGTCGTAACAGACACATGATACTCACCAGTGATCATCAGCTGCTACTGCTACTTTTATTGTGCTAAGAAAAGTCACAATTTAATGAAAAGTGTCGGCTGATTCTGTGAACAGGTTTATATCAAACTCCTGTTACTCTAACTTGCTGAAAATGTTTTATTTTTAGAACATTCTACATGGAAAATTAACCAGAATTAAAGATTACAACAAAGGATACCATTAAGCATTTTTGAACATGTCTCTTCTGTCAGTGGTGGGGTTTTTTTCTGTGTCCACTCCTAAAAACTCCAGCCATGCTTGTGTCCTAATGTCTGGAAGACTTTAGAGGATTAATCCTGGTTTATTAGTACTATTTTTATAGTTTTGGCCATGAGTTCTATTGGTTATGTTCACCAAAGTAGTTTCTGAGATCTGAGAACAAAGAGATGTTGGTACAACAAAGTCTTGTCAGTAATAGCCTCTCATTGCACAGGAACTGTACACAACGCTGAATCAGGAAGTTGTTCTGTAAAATGTGGTGGATGTGTGAAATAGGATCAGTTTGACTAACGTGGGGGTTTTGTGTTTCTTGCTTGGTCTGGCGTCTTTTTAGTGATGTCACTATGTTCTCAAGTCTGAGCAATTCATTGTTGAGTGCAGTTATTTTTACTGATTAAAATTTGTTAAATTTGAGTTATTATTGTCATATTTGCACCATCCTATCTCAACAGGAATCATCACAGTGAAGCATCACTGAAATGCAGCTCTCCTGTTTCTTCATACCATGTAAAAAAAAACTGACTGGATCACGTTAACTCACCACCAGCAGCCTTTTGTCCTGTTCATGGACACTTCAGGATCAAAAAAGCAGCACTGAGCAAACGCTTGAATTTTCAGCTGAATATCTCTGGTCCCACACTGAATGAGTAAGGCTATTTTCACCCCCCTTTGTTGTCTATTTTACCCCTTTGAATAGAGTGCAATCGCCTCGATCTGGACGGACTAATCCTCAGTCAGCTTTGCTATAAATCAGCAGTATTGGTGCTAATCTGGGTAGAGAAGCCACTGGTTAGCATTCTCCACAACGTAGTCAGTATAAATTGGATAATACCATCAGGGTCAGTGGGATGGGGCAGAGGGACTTAACGTGGGTTAGTTTCTGATGACACCGCTAATATGTGTGGAAAGCTCACTTCATTAATTTAGCGCTCAGGGCGTCACCACCACATGGGGACGCACTCAATATACTCTACGTGCAAGATCTTTGTCACTTGTCGTGGAGATGTTGCAGGATGAAATATAAACACTGGTAAAATGGTTATCGACGTTTAAATTGTGTTGACCTTTAATATCATGCCTGACCTTTTAATGGTACAACTTACACAGTCCTCTGACGCAAATATGACAAAAAAAAAAAAGAAACAAATGGAACACAATATGGAGAATACGTCTGTCACAGTACGCATGGCACCCAGCATTACAATCCGAAAATACACCTGTGTTTTATTGCAAAACAGTGATCAAAGGAAAGAGAAACTCAGAATAGATTGTGGCGAGGCAAAGCTGACTTTAAATCATTTCAAGATGCCAAATGTCAATGGAGTCTACATGGCTTGCAAAAATGTGACCTTTTGAGAAGTCTAGAAATTAGTCGGAGGTAATGTCAACCTTGACATTATGTCAGAGCGATTTGAAGAAATGAGGAAATAGGTTAAAGAAACGACAGAGGGAACAGGGGCAGGAACCCGAGCAATGCTGTCAAAATCCTCAGAGGTTAACAGCTGTTTCTGTTCGTAAATCTCCACGGGTGCACACGGGTGCAACCCTCTTAAACTTGGTTCTTATATTTGGAACAAGGTAACTCAAGCCCAGTGGACTAGGTTACGTTTCCCATCAGGGTTTGGTGGGGGGAGGGGTTAAAAATAGCTCAGGTGCTTGGGGGAAGTCAGAGGATCAGAGGAGACTACAGGGATTAAAGAGCTGTGATTCTTTAAAAGAAAGGTTCATCTCTAAAACGCTGCAGTATATGTCAACCTTTGGAGAATATTATCAATAAATATTATTGAGAATCCAGTTTGTGATAATGTTATAATTTTGTAAATGCATGAGGACAGAAACTGTACATTTGAAGTGACCCTGATCTAATTCAGACTGATAACGGTGCAATGACAACGTTATCAGTCAGAGTTGTTGGTTTCACATCATTAGAGAGTCCCTCCAATGAAAATCCCTGTTACCTTTGTAACCTTTAACCTTGTGAACATGTCCGTGTTTTTTTATATGATACAAGACATATCATGAGTGAAAAAAACAGTCATGACTGAGTATTTCCACCTTGGAACTGTAGTGAACCAATGACAGTCTTGGATTCAAACAGCCAGGGTTTCATACGTCACAAACCTAAGGAACCAGGGAAAGAGTTTTGCATTAGCACAACTGCTAACACTGTGTCAGCCACTGCCAGTCACAAGCTGACAAACAGTTTAAAGAAATAAACGATGCTAACTACCCTAACCTTTCTGATACGTCTGCTAGTCTCTGATTTTGGTGCACAACAGATTCCTCATCTGAGTCTGGGTCAGACTGAGGCTCAACCATGTGGCTGAGTCTCTCCTAACCACCTTGGTAGCACTGCTCTTTCACCTGTTAACCTAGAGCAAAAGCAGAATTTCTAAATGAGGAGTAAGGATAGATGTTTATCTTTTTTTTTAACTTTTTCTTTGAGGGAATATCATGTTAAACAAAATATTAATCATAACAGTATTTTTTACACTTTAAAACGAGTCTGGAAGGGAACTTAAGTTAAATTATTGCTCCACTGGGAGGTTTTCCCTGGAATCCAGTTTCGGCCGTAGATACTGAAATGTACCAAAGTACGTCTAAATAAGGTGTAGAAACAATAAAATTAAACTTGCCAAACATTTACAAAAAATACTTGAATATATATTTTTATTTAAAGTATTTACAGATTGTTGTCTTCCCATAGATAGCACCACATTGAAAGTGTTTTCATGAATGAAAAAACCTTTTGTTTGGGATGATGTTGGCAATGCTCAAACTAAAAGCACAAAAAAAGACACTTCACATTTTTTGCTTGTGACCTATACATGCCTTTATGATGAATTCAGCAGTCTACAAAAAGCTGGCTGCGGTAAATGAAATGAAATGGTTGGACACGGATGCTTCGTTAGTGGATGCACGCTGACCATGTTTGATTTGGGGGGATTGATTCAGCTCTGGTGCACCACGTTGAGGAAGCTGATACGAGGCTGTCGCTGGCTTGTCTTTGCAGGCTCGGACGTGCTGAACTAGTTGTTCTTCTGTTTGCTCCGTGTTGCTTTCATCTTAATCTCTGCTGGCGGACTGTAAAGACGGGAAAAGATAAACAAAAAAATTATGAAATAATCAGTCAATAATCTGGCATCTTCGCACATCAGTGGCTCTAAATGGGAGCCACTTTTCCACTCACTGTCATTACGGCTGCTCATTTAAACTTAATTTTACACAGTAATTTTGCTGAATGCAAATATTTCTTCCCATTCTTCCAGAACTGTACATGTGCATTTAAAACGATTTTCTGAGCATGAAGCCAGAGCGTTTCTCACTCATGTCGTTGTTCCGTGTGATGGCCATGGCGGCTCTGGCGCGGGGACCCTGCTGGGTGAAGTGGTAGCCGAACTTGAGGATGCTGGAGTTGTTCTCCAACATGGAGGCGATCTCCATCTCAACTGAATCTCCCAGCTTCTGCCTCTGTGCCGGACAGGAGGAAAGCACATCATTCACCCCAAAGGACAAGGATGTATTCAATTCTTGCATACTTTATATTATGAAAGTGATTTATTGCTATTAGCGCATGCCAACTACAAGTTTGTCTTCCACCAAGTGCGGGGGTACAGGTATTAAACTGACGGCACATTATATCTACTGTGAGATGGACAGTAAGTACCACAGTTCTAATTTTGTGTTTCAGACCTGGTTGTCGATCTTGAGCTCCACCAGTGTGGCGTTGTTGGCCATGGCTTTGATGATCGCCATCATGCCATCTGCAGTAATGAAGTTGGATTCGATATTAAGACTCTGCAAGCTGGTGTTCTCCTGCAGCATCTCAGCTTATGCCTGAAACGCACACACACACACACACACACACTGAAATCATTTTGTCTACATCCACAATTTAAAAACTAAGCCATCATCACCACCTCTACTGGAACTAGGCTTCAGAAAGTATATTGGTTGTTATTTTCCAAACTTCCACCATCTACCAAGTATCTTCTAAAGAACTGTGTTTATTTTTAACTTGACCACCATGCCTCTAAATATCATCTTCCACAGTTTTTGAGACACCTGTAATCCTTAAATGTAGGTTTAAGTTTGATGGGTGCTTTTATGTGAATAATCATACACTGGTGAAGTGGTGAAGGTAAAGCACAATAAGTTAACTTTTATTTTATTTTAGATGACACTAATACAAAAGAACCTTTAATCCACTACAGGATTGCTGGCTCGTTAACACATAGTGTATTTCAATAATAAAAATAACTACTACAACATTGTTAATGCAGAGCTACATAAAATATATGTGCTTGCAGTAATAAAAATATATAACATTTATCATTTTTTAATTCCAGAGAAATAAAGTGCATAACATTAGCAATAAATTGTAATTGCTGGCTGTCCAAATGGGCGGCGTACTCACGTAAGCCACAGGGTCGTTGCTGCGGGTCGCGGCGATGCTCAGAGATTCCACGTGAGAGTTTCCCTTCATCGCGTCAAAGATCTCTTTCAGTGTTGGGATGGGAATGTCCTGCAGGAAAGATAAAGAGCCGTCATTTTATATCCTAACTGATCAATACAGCAGATGATTTGAGCCTATTAATTTTGATATCTGTTGTTATAAGGAAGATTATAGTGTAGTGTTGTTACAGCACATGGGTAGAAGAGGCTGGCAAACAGCAAGGACAATAAGGTGTCATTGTTTCTTTGCTCTGTACTGTAGCATCCCATCGGGCCGACCTTGATGTTGTTGAGGTTGACTTCCGTCAGGCCGCTGTCGTTGTTGTGGATTCTCTCCAGGGTTTCCTCCACGTTGGTGGTGTTTGGTGGCTCCTCGGGAAAGATCTTGAAAGGATCTGGTTTCACCACACCTGAAGGGGGACACAACATCACAGCTGAGGCCTCAGAGTAGCACATTAAAAAGTGTTGCGGTATCTACATATGTAAAGAAACATGAATTTCAGTCTTAAACTGACAAAGTTTTGATTGAAAAAGTTACCTTCTAACTCAGCTTTCTATGACTTTGAATGTTAGCTTCTAAAAATCTTTGCCAGTAAAAAAAAAAGAAGATGTAATACGTACTGTTGATGCCCTCTGTGTTGGCGATCGTGCCTGTGGTGCCCAGGGCGTCGTAGTACTGCTTGTTGCTCATCAGCGTGTACATTCCAAGGATAGCTGCAAGTACAAGAAAACAATCACTATGAATACATGTCAGGGCGGCAATCTAGATAAAAATATCTCTGTGATATTTGAATAAGATCATGTGTCCTGGGTTGTGCTCTCGTCGTGTTTGTTTTTACAGTCCCTGCTGTTGGCGTGTCCCCGCACTGATACCCCCAAGACAAATGTGTCGTGCATCGCTGAGTTGGCAAACGAAATGTTTCTGATTTGGATTCCAGCTCTGAGTCCAAAACAAAAGGAGGCACAGTTAGGTGTTCCCTCATCCCTCATGTGTGGCTCTGCTCTGTGCGTCTGTTTGATGAGATAAAGATACTGTTGTCTGAGTTTAGCAGGAAACTCGGTCACTGGCTGTAATCTCACTGTTTCCAGGGGCTGCAGTCGTAATGATACCACATATAAGTTTCAGGATGACAGGGTGGGCCTGCAAGTTTCTCATTGTTGTTGTTGTTGTTGATGAGTCAGTTTTAAATGACCACATACAACTGAAGTCAGAAATCAGAGAGCTTTAAGCATGGAAATTCAAAGTTATCATTATGCAGAATGCCCCATTTCAGAATGCTGAATTATTTCAGTTACTTGCCAATGCATTTTGAGGATAAAATGGGTCAAGAGCATAGCATTATATTTTATAATGATATCTTATGTATGTAAATAGAACAATATTTCCCTCTGGAGAAGAGTAAGAGAAATTGAAAATACTCAAGTAAAGAAGAAGCACCTTAAAATTGTACTTAATATGGTAACACACACATAATACACTTAGCTATTTTTCAGCAAAATTACCTGCCAGTTAGTGATACATTTTAACTTGTACATACTATATCTTAATTGATTTGGAGGTGAAGTGACGATGTATTGGAAGAAAACACAATACACTAAACTGATAACGTTGGTAGTTTTCTCTTGTTCTCCTGCTGTTATTTGTTAATAATGCCAGGAGGGGGCAGACCTGCTGGTTTCTTTTCTTGCTCTTTTTGTAACCTGCCAGCACCAAACTGTGTCACATGCCAACTGCTGTGACAGCGACCCCCCCCCATCCCCCCTCCCCTCCTCACCCATTCCCACCCACCAGCCTCCTGACCCGGTGTGGGGAACCATTGGAAGGGCCTTGTGAGGAGAGGGAGGCCAGGGAGACAGCTGCTTGCTCTGGGGGCGGCGTTATCAGCCACAAACACCCCCACGTCATCCGGTTTGGCCCTGAGAATAACCCACAGTAGCTTTACAGCACAAACTGGGCTGCAGATAACTAAAAAGCTCAAGATAGCAATGTGTTAATATCATAAATAAAACGTGAAAATTAAGTCTCAGGGGTGACTTGTTGGCCCCACACTCTCTGTGAGCTCATGGAGCGGGGCGGCCAGGCTATTCATCCCCTTTTAGTCTGTTTGCCAAAAAGCTCAAACAAAAGACTGACAGAGGCTAACTGAGGTTTAATCCTCAGCTGGACTCGGTCCAGAGTCTCTCTCTGACAGGCTGATGGAGCCGGACAAACAGGCTCCCTCTGCTCTGTCTTTCCGGATGCCTGCCTGTTTGGTCTGTCACAGGAGTGTGTCCGGGTTTTCACTGTGTTCAAAGTATCACACTCAATAAAGAAAACATTTTTTATGACTCAATTTGACCTTAATATTATCCACCTCAGTGAAGAAAGTATCCACTAATAAAATGTTATTTGATCCGGGTCAAGAAATCTTGCACTCCATCTTTCTTTATGTATTTATTCATTATTTATTTATCAGGAACAATGCACATTAATTGACGTAACTGACCATTTGCTGATCCTGTCCCCAAACAGCAACTGTCCAGGTTTTGATTTCCCCATAGGTGTGCATGGATCTGTAGAGCATTACTCTGCATTTAAAATATTTGGTGGGTGGTGTCTTGTTTTTTAACCTTTCTAAAATTCAAAAACAAATTTCTTTCAGCTCAAATGTATCCTGGAGAGCAAAATAAATCCAGCCACATGCTGGTTTTCTTCTGACCCAGTGTACACTTTGTTCCACGGCCCGAAACTGGCCCATATACAGCATGATCGTCAGATGCCACTTCCACATCCGCACCAATTCTGGCGCACATACAGAAAATCTTCGAGCTGTCAGCCAATAGTGGACAGCCAGAAGTATATAACAGCCAGAGTCCGCCTACATGTGGAGCCAAAGACCCAGGTATATATTTGGCTAGAAGGCTTCAACTTAGCTTTAGCCTCAGTCTTTTAGCCTGATGTCATTTGTGTAGCCCTGAAGTGCATATTTAAGATCCCATTAACAAGATTCTCATTCTAAAACAAGTTGAAAATATTAGTAAGACAACTGGAGATAAATATTTCCACCCAATAATTGTTGGGTTAGCAATCGTTAACGCTTTTAGCGTTTATCTCCAGCTGACAAACCCTGCTAGCGACAGCTGCCACTTCAGATGGCAAAATCTTTTCTCTACCGTTGCCTGAAATCAAGGACCCATTGTTTCATAAATTACCCAGAATATGGAGCGGTGAATCTCATTATCATTACCGTTATGTAAAACTGCCATACGTGCCATGTGAGAATGGAAAACTTGTTAGCCATAGCAAGGGTTACAGGGTTAGCCAAGTGGCTAATTGTCATATGCAGGTCAGTCAGTTACCATAGTTTCCTTTTATTTTGTTATAGCTACTACTACTTTGTGACAATAATTTACAGTGTATTGATAAAACATGTTGATATCCAGTTGATTTTAAGCTTCAGGGCTCAGTAACTTCCCACTTGTCTGTGTTAAAGAGATACAGTATCTTTGCCCCCACCATTCACATGTCCACTCCACCCTTCTGTTGGTGGCCTGGGGGCCAGGCTTATTTATTTTTGTGCTGCTGAGTGTGGGGAATTGGACCCCATCGCATGTCTGGCCATGTCTGTTAGCCTTGGACCACTGGGCTGCCTCAGTGTTCAGAGGAAACAGTATGAAGCAGCAGCAGAGAGATAACTAGGTCTGTATAATAGAACTATGTGGGTCAGAGTCACTGTGATGAAAACACTGAGGTCACACTATGCTGTGTGTGTGTCATACCACGTTAATAAGCACTTGCTGCTGGGAAACAGCATGATCAGACCTTTTTTCACAGCAGACATTTTTCGGAAAAGTGCAGGTGTAATTGATAATATTAAGTATACGCTCAGTTTAGGTGAGCTAGCAACTTTTCCTGCTTGACAAATCAAAATGTCTGTTGTAAAAAGAAAAGACAACTAGTCTTCAGATAGATACCGGTTTGTTGCTTCAGGCTGCCACTACTCGTATTAATAGCTAAGTAAGATTAGTAGTTATAGTAATAGTGTTTGTCTAACCTGCAATATCACACATCTCGGCATCAGTGGCGTTTTTCAGAGCCTCCTCCAGCTCCGGCTCCAGCATCACCTGCTCGTGTTCAGGGATCTCCGCTGCTTTCTTGGGCACAAAGGCCTTTCCTGCAGGTGGACAAAGAATAGATGTGTTATCTATAGAGTCTATGGTTAAGAGATGAAAACAGGAAAGAAAGACCGGACAACAATAAGAAATGACACAGAGGTTTTGGAAATAGATGGCAGTCGGAAGAAAGGAAAAGGAGCAAATAGCTAGTGAGAGTTGAGTAGGTGGAGAAACAGAAAGCGATGGGAATAAATGAATACGAGAAGGAGTCAGACTGTGTGTAAGAGTTCCCACAGTATCGTTTGCCTGATCATATTAGTCCACAAACCAAATTGCCCAACGTTAATGGGGTTCTGCAGACTGAATGTCTCAAACTGTAAATTTGTCTCTGTTTTGGTAAAAGCTCTGTTCATATCATGTTTCCGAAAACATGAGTAAGCCAGGGCTTATCACAGATTCACAGACCAGGTCTAATAAACCCAGTTTTCCAGTGGAGCACACGTTCTGATTTCCCATCTTTCTTTCTTTTTTTCCTACTGCTCATTCATTGTTGTGAATCTGTGAAAAATGACTACTGTATTCCTGGTTTTCCATTTGTTAGATGTTTTGCACAGGAACTACTGCACAAATATTCTCAGCCAAGTCATTTCCCGGTGTAGGTCTGGACGTGTCAGCCTTTGGGACTACGATGAAAATGGCCCTGAAACTCAGTGAGCCGCAAAAATACCCACACAGACCTGAAAGTAAGAGCCCGAGCTGCTGTGCAGTGGTGCATCACAAAGTACAATACAGTACAGCTGTCTGAGGGAGAGGGAAAAATGTCTATGGAGATTGAAGACTTGTATGAATTGTGTGAAAAGACCCACTGATCCATTATATCCAGTATATATATATATATATATATCTGGTAATTCTATCATTAGACCTCTGCTGATGTCTTACAGTGCAAATCCTATGAGGTCTGTGCACAAACACTGAGGGGGATATGTTCTCTCCTCATGGGGTCATGTGATGGAGACACTGGTTGGAAACATTTACCTTCGATGTCTGATTGTGTGCAATTAGAAAAATTAATTTCCTTGATTTCATGTCCACTAGTCTGCAGCCATGCAAACACGTTAACAGGACAAGAATTATTATAAAGATCTTTTTCTTTTCTTAAACAAACTCAAAGGTCACACTGTATGTCAAAGTTAAATGAGTTACATGTGTGGTGTTTAGTGTAAATGTAAATCTGGAGCCCCCACCTTTCTTCTCTCCAGTGAAGGGCACTAGGTCCTCCCTGTCCTGGTGCTCGATGGCCTGCTTCTCCAGGTGCTGCATCAGGGCGTCACGGTCAAACGGCCCCGTCGGGGTCTTCTTCGTCTGGTCACGCTGCCGGAAGCCAGCTGGCAGCATGGCATTCTGGGAGAACAGGAGGTCAAATGTTATGTTGATGTGGCATTAGGACCAGAGAACAGACAAAGAAGAATCACTGCTTAAGTGTCTGAATGGATAAAATCAGAGAAGAGTAGAAGAGCAAAGTTTTACACAAGTTCCCTTAGAAATAATTTACTTTAGTTAAATTGCATTGACATGGTTCTGCAGCATGTTTTAACTATGTACACAGGTCATTTGCAAACTGTATCTGTGGTTTTTCACTTTGTGATGCCATATAATGTACACCTGAACAGTTCATCCATAATTTACAATATGCATCACCAATTTTCCTTTTTGAACATGATGATGGATGATTATATGCACAGGAGGCCTGAGAGTCATTTTCATTCCAACCAGCAACCATGGCGGTGGTAATAACATCCTCCCTGATTTCCACGATTTTCCTTCCCTGCAGCGAAGTCATAAAGTACCTCCTTGCATCATGAAGTGTGTTCCCCAGTGCAGAGCAGCGGGAAACTGTTGGTGCACTCTGGGAAGGACTTTTAAATTTACAATGAAAACTGAGAGGAAAATGAAAAAAACATGTCACCAAGGCCTGATGGTGTGCGAGAACAACAAATGTCCTTTAGCTGTTTGAGTTTATAATTTCAAATCAAAGCTTATACATCTTCAGTGTCTTATTATTTTAAATTCAGTAAAGTTTTTAATGGGCAAAATGTCCTTCCAGTGGTTGTGAGGGCTGGTGGCCGTCATGGCAACACAACATGCTCAAGCAGAACCACATACACCTCATATCTCTTTGATATCCTGTATCCTGCAGGCCTCTGATGGGTAACGAGCTACACCTGGTGTCAGGTAGATGAAGAACACACTGATTGAGCACCTGTGGGAACAGAGACCTGCAGGGCCTGTGGACTTCAGGCGCCAGATCTGACTATTTGGAGGAAGTGATCAGAAGCCAAACACCCGGTAAGTTAAGACAAACTGGGTCCCTACCTCAGGGTCCATCTCCTGCAGCTCATACTCCAGCTGATCCAGCTCCTCAGCACTGAGGCCCTTGAGGATGGCATCCTCGTCGATGTCCCTGGGGTCCGACATGGCTCCTGAGGCTCCGGCTCACACACACACACACTCACTCATACACACCGCTGCACACCCCTGGGTGAGAGGAAGAGGAGAGGGAGGGGGGCAGAGAAAGAGAGGAGAGGGGGGGTCACAATGAGTTTTTTTTATGGTCTCTGGTGTCCTTGGTGTCATGTTGAAAATATCCCTGCTCATTCACAGCTGAGTCTGAACCCCAACCTCTGTTTATGCTCTTACCAAGAAGTTAAGTGTAAATCACGTTGACTGAAATATTTTTATGTCTCCATGCCAACGACAGCCGTGGTCGAGGGCACCCATCCAATTCTAATGAAGATGATACCTTGGACTACGACATTCACTTGGACTCAAGGATGAACTGATTTGATTTTGATGGTAAAAGGTCAAGGGTCACGTTCACTGTGCCCTCACGTCCTTCCCCATTTTTGTGAATGCAATTGCATCCCTGCTTGAGGGACTTTCATTACATCTGGTGCAAAAATCTACTCAAGGGTCAACTGAGTAGAATTTGGTGGCCAAAGGTCAAAGGTCAAAGTCACTGTGACCTCACAAAAAAGGTTTTTTTCTGATAGCGCAAGAATTCATACGCAAATTATGACAAAATACACTTAATACCTTTTATGAAACACTTCACTGATCATTGTTGGGAATGCAATATCTTGATCGCACCTTGAAGGATGGACTGATTGGATTTTGAGGTCAAGGTCAAAGGTCAAGGTGACCTCAAAAAACACGTTTTTGCCCAGTTTTTGCCTAGTACTGTATTGTATCGTTGTATAATATGTTTCACGTCTTATTGTACATCGTATCATGTAATAATGTACACACAATGAGTAAATGATAAAGCGCTCAGTCCTTATCCAGTCCATGGAGCCCTGTCAGGGACCACGGGGGGTCCCCTGCCCAACTGTCCTTGCCAAACAATGCCATGATCTTCAATGAGCTTATCAGCTGCCCTCTCCAGAGCGCTTCAATAATGTGACAATGATAATAATAGTTGCATTTCCAATAATAAAGGTGCAGTACTCAGGAGGCCAGAGTCAGTATAAATATGCTGCAGCAGCCTCCAGGGCACGGCCTTACGTAAGCTTAATTTTCACCTTAAAACACATGAGAGGTGAACAACCGCCAGCACTGATGCCCTGCAGTCTGAGAGGGGAAGAGGCAGAGCGAGGCAGATGAGCGAAGAAAGTGAAAAAGTGAGAGAGATCGAGGTCTTTGTAATTCTAAACCCTTAGCTCACCACACTAAGAATAGCAGGATAGAGAGAGGAGAGGGGTGGAAAGTGCAATCCCTTATTTATCATTGACAGACATTCGTCCTTACAGTAGTGGACCCGCCCGAAAAACATATCAGCACCCAGTGACGAGGAGCCACACACGAAAAATACATAACGGCAAACACAAAGCGCTCTCTGATACAGCAAAGAGCAGCAAGTTCAAACTGCTCAGCGCTCAAACTAGGAAATACCACAATGATAACATACATATACCCCTGGGTCAAAGTATGAGTAATGCAGCTATCAGGTTTGTGAGGTCCAATGTTTTCATTTTCAGTCCAAATTTCATCCCAACTTGGCCAGAGAAGAAAACCCATCACAGCTCAGGTCACAGATGTGGTTTCATTCAGCCAGTCTGCTTGTATGTCAGTAAGCATTAACATCTGTGATCTGTGATGGCAACAAGAGTTCAAGTATCGTACAGCAGGCAGCTTTCCGCTTCAGTATATGATCATGTTTGTGCTCAGGGATGAAATTAAAGGGACCATTGATAGAAAAATACAACTTTACACCACCAGCAACAACAACCTGACAATTTGCAGGCAGAGGCACAGAGATTCAATGGAAACAAACTTGCTTACAAGCTGAGGATAGCTAAGGACAGCTGACTAGCTAACAGGCTAGCTATTACCAGGGCACTTTTCTGGAACCTCTGTGTAGGTAAAGCAAGGCAAGTTTATTTTTGTAGCACATTTCATACACAAAGGTAATTCAAAGTGCCTTACATAATGCACTAAAAACACTCGAATGGCACAGAGTAGAGCGCATACCTCCACTGAGGCCAAACAAGCCTACACGTCGCTGGGATCCACATTATTATCTGGATCTGCACCAAACTGTACAAACTCATAGATGCCGACACCATTAATATGTCTGATCTTTTAAAGTAAGATCCAAACATTATTTTCTGAGATATTGATCTTGCAATGATTAGGAAAGTGATAAAAAAATTTTTTTTTAAATCCTGGATCTGCCATGTAACCGGATCAGCGCCAAAATTTTATGGATTCTTCTCTGGCCCATCCCGCAGCGCTCCATCGGACCTCCGCCAAAGCCAAACAACGTGCATCAGAAAATAATTTGAATTCATAGTAAATTATCCAGATCTGCCTCAAAACTGTTTCATACAAATACAGTTTATAATGAAATGATTTGTCTGGACATTTGTAAATAATTTCTCTGTGTACGTAGACGGCGAAACAACAGCAGCAACTTTTTTGTTTGTGCGCTGTAACTGTGTGCGTTTGTGGTGTCAGTGGATGAAATACAAAGTCATGGTCCTGACAAGCCACAGCCAAATAATCAGGTTTCCTTGACAACAGGACAGAAGCTCAGTCGCCATGGAAATGGAAATGGACAGTTCTGTACACAATTACTCCAGGTTCATGTTATGGGACAGGTTATGTATTCTGTTCTATTCTATGCTGCGCTGTGTATCTTGCATTGTTTTGCTCCAGTGACACACAAACTGTGACCATAACCTGGTCTTTCTCAAGGGAACGCCTGTTCACTGATCACATTACATGTTATTAGAGCTGACTGACACACACACACCCACACACATACACACACTCACACACACACACACACACACACACACACACACACACACACACACACACACACACACACACACACACGTCTTGTGACTGCCTGTATCTGGACACACAAACCATATGGCTGGTGAAACGATACCTGTCATGAATCAAAGAATGCCAGCTTTGTGTGTGTGTGTGTGTGTGCGTGTGTGTGTGTGTGTGTGTGTGCGTGTGTGTGCGTGTTTCAGGAAAACTCTAACTTTAACTCTAACGTATACAAATGTAAAGCCTATTATTGGTATTTCAACAAACATAACGTCACATTTACTCGTTAAAAACTTACATTAGAAATCAACAAATACACACATCCCCAACCAACACACACCAACACACTAGAAGACACACATTTAGATGAGAATATGAGCAGAAAACCCTGTGAAAATGTTTTAATGTTCAACATGTAAATCAAATTTGACAGAGTCACATTAGCTGAAAATAAGGAATCCCTGTGTCCAGGCTCCTTCAACCTCTATTTACTCCATGCGTTTCAAACAGTGCACCAGCTCCTATGAACCACACACATGCAAAGCTTAACAGGGACATAAAAAGAGCTTGCAGGCTCTGCAGACCTCTTCTTTAGAGAAATTAAAACTCTAAAAACACGCCTGTTAAAACCTGCTTCTGGGTCCCCGGGTGCCACTGGCTGCTGCTCACTGAGGCCGTGTGGCTCTAATGCGTAAAGCCAGTGACACAAACAGCGGATCACACAGCTGAGTGTCGAGGAAGATGGAGGAGATTTAAAAGGATGAGGGGGAAGGAGGCTGCAGCTCAAAAGGACCAGGTGGAGGATGAATCCACCTAAACTCACTTTTTATCAGGGATAAAAGGTTTTACTTGCCTTTAAAACCCACAAGCTAAAAAACAGCCTTTGAATCTTGACAGTTTGACTTACACCACTGCCTCAAGAAATGATACGATGCTATAATATTATAAAAGCTGCGTATTTATAAAGTCAAAAGTTAAAAGTTAAAACTACAAGCATCCTCACTGCTTGAGGAGTCGTTGAGGAGTGAATCCTGCTGCAGTTCAGTCGTGTAATTGATATGAAAACAGTGTATTTGTAAAAGGTGCTAAACAATGATGAACACTGAATTGAATTATTGTAGAAGATAAGAAGATAAGTTTGTGGTCTTAAGAACGAAAAACCATCTCAATGGTGGGTCCAGGTGGGCGGGGCGCAGGGCGTGGCTGAGACCAGTAACTGCTTTGTTGTGACATCACAAAGTAACAGAAGTCCTGATGGCTGGTTTTAAGGCTAAGTTCCTGAATACAGGCTGTGTGCATTTCTCTGTGGACTGAGGCTTTGATACTTTCACAGTATTAATATAGAACCTAGACCTGATCTATAATCACACTACACATGGAAGTCTCACTTTACACAGTAAGGGACCTTTAAACTCTTAAGTTAATAGTTCAATTCTGATTTTTATAAATTACAAATACTTCATTGTCATTTCATTTTAAGGCGGTTCTCTATCCTAAATCTCACATATATTGGCATGAAAATTATGACTGTGTTAGACAGAACTACTGTATCAGATGTAGAGAGCTGCCTGTGACTTAAGGAGTGAATGTGACCCAGGGCTCCCTCCAAACAAGGCTCATGTGATTTGCCAGCAGTGAAGCCTTTGAGCCTCGCTTATTGTTGAGTTAAATACATGGCTGTTTTCTGATACTTGAGCTAAGAGCGACGGCTCAGACAACTGCATACTACCAGCCTGCTAGTTAAGGAACTGGACATCATAATAATTTTGCATACTATAGCGTATAGTTTTAGAAAAATCATATTGACTTTGGTTTTTTTACATCTCCTCTTCTAGTATTGTACAGAAAAGCAGAATTTCAGATTATTGGTTGTCAGCGGTAAAATATAAAGTAGTTAAAATAGAAACAGCCCGGCCCCAATGCTGTGTTTTCATTTGCTCTGACATTTAATTTGGCACGTTCCACGTTCCACCTCCGACCACACTGGATACACACTGGACGTTTGTGAATGTGCATCTGTCCCCAGCAGTCCCAGTGGGAGTTTCTATATGATACAAAACAAGCTGGGAGTGGAGCAGAGCGGTGGCTGTCACCTGCCGCTGCCAGCTGGCCCCGGACGTTTCTTTTTCCAGCTTGAATCTCAACCATGCCCTGCACCTGCAGCTGCTGTCTTTATGGAAGTTGTGACATGAGCTGAGCCTGGTCATAAATGTACATCCACGTTTTCTCACTGTGGTCTGATTGATGACAGCTGCCATGTATTGTCTCTATAGCACTTTGACTATGTTAAGACTTCAACTGAGTGTGACCGGTCTAATTTTTCCCTCTTATGTGACACAGGTCTAATGTCCTTTATATAATGTCATCACCAAGAAGGTTTAATTTTTCAGTTCTGACATGAAACAAACAACTTCTTCACAGCTCAGAACAGAATTTCTCATCAGTTCCCCAACAGTAAGTAAAAATTTTTGACGTTCTCCTGAGACAAATGTGATAATTACAACTATCTAATTTGGAACAACGAGGCACAAGAAGGGACAAACTAATTTAGATATAATTAAAACCCTAAATTAAAACCCGAGGGCTCATTATGTAACTAAAATGGATTTTAAAAAAAGTTGGGAAAATTAACACAGAACACAGGAGAGACTTATATTTTAGTCAGCAGTGAGTGGGAGTTTTGTTTGTACAAAAATTGATATCAGGAGAAGAAGAAATCCAGTCACTACTACAACAGCTGAAACAGGGCTGCAACTCAGGTGTCATCATCCAATCCAATCACTTATTTCGTCTGAACAACCAAAACAACACGAGAACTAAAAATCAACTTTGTCCAGACCCATGACTTGGAACTGGATCAAAAGCTGATTATCAGGCAAATCAAAGTCACAGATCAACACCCGTACAGCTGCGCTCACTTATGTTTCATCACTGCTCTGCGCAGGTCATGTGCACACTGTGCTTCGTAAACATTTTCTCTTAGTTTTGTTGCACCTGTTGGGCTGGACACCTTGGAGGAACTTGCATCAAAAATCCTTCCCTATTTAATGACCTCTACCATTTTACCCACCACCATTTTATTTGAGTGTAAAACATATGTCTTATTTACAGCTGTGCCCTCAGATAAATGAAAGAGTGGCATCTATTGTCTGTACAACTGCTCTCTGCTCACAATCCCACAATGTGTGATATGATATCGATGCAAAAATGACCACAATTGATACGCATCTGAAATCTCAGCCTACCGCTCACTACAGCCTGACTTCCTGAGTGTCTATCATACAGGAAGTAGAGAGAGTGAACTGGAACACAGCCACTGGACCTGAGCAGGTTAACCAGAATAACTGAAAACACCTGTGTGGTTTGAGTTTGGGAGTTGATTTCCTGATGTTTGCAGGTCGACAGATTAAAGGTGCGGTCACATTAGTCTTTCACTGAATGAAATTTAATGTCACGTTTTCCAATGTGGCTAATAGATAAATACTGATCCCTACAGTTTGTTGCACTATAAACATTATAATCGAATCTAATCTGATGCTATTGGCCGACTGAGCCCATCCCTTCAGTCAAAGCTGAACAAAGGTGCACTCTGACCTGTGAGTCCACGGGAACAGGGTGGGGATCGAACCAAAACAGGAAACACATGCTTGAATTTGTTCAGGGCTTTTGTATTTGTATGTGTAGGAGGGGAAGTGTAATGTGACCGTACCTTATCTGTCCATCTATGCATCATCAAACAATTACAGTTAATATGACAGAATATCACATGGAGTAAATGTTTTTTGGAAAGGCAGCTGCGCCCATCTCCAACCATCTGCTGAGTTTGTACAAGTGTGTGCACGAACACTTTGGTCACAGTATTTATGGCGTCATTTGAAGAAGACACTAACTGTAGCTTCTTTATTGTGTAGCAGTGTTTGTAAAAAGGGGAGAGGGGGGGATTAATTTGTAGATAGATGCAGTAAAACCATGATTCACTGCATGTGAGCTTGTACAATTTCTTATTGTCCTTAACGGGCAGAAGCTCCAGTAACTCCATTTAAAAAAAAAAAAAAAGTGCTGCTCTGAGGCAAACAGCAGAGGAGTTACTGCGTGTTTTATAAGTCAAAGACCATTACAAGGGTTTAGATTTCACAGTGACAAAGGTTATACTCTCATAAATGCTCCAAAATGATTTACACTCCGCTTCTGTGCCGGAGTGTTTGTTTTTACTGGGGCAGAAAATAAACTCTGAAGTCATTTCTCTTAGTTTTACAGTTTTTTCTTAATTCTATAAAGACCTCGTTTCTTTTTCTTTTTCTTTTTTATTTCTGTAACAGTAGCAGGGTTGGAGAGGCTTTTTAAATGAGCAGGCAGCGAGTTGCCATCCTGCCACCGACAGCTCAGAAGATTTGTCGCCATCCGCGGGTCATCTTCTCCACGTCTTACCGCCCAAGTGTAACATTCCAAATCAGCCCTCTGCTTAATTTTAGCTTCACAAGTCAGCTCCTTCCAGCCGCCTGAGTCCAACCCGGCTTGGGTTGCTCCTTGAGACTTTACTGGAGCGACATTTTGAAGCCCCGAGAACAACTTGGTTGCGTGGGTTTCGCTCCAAAACAGAAGCTTTTATTAAAACAGTGCCAGTTTGCAGCTGTTGCAGATTTTCAAAAAAGAAGCAACAAGTGGAAAAAGCTTGTCCTGACACACAGACGCTGCAGCTGAGCTATACATTTGCAGTAAGGTCACATCTATGTGAAAAGCAAAGGCCCCCACTTTATCTTTTACCACAATTAAGCCATGAGACCCCAGAAGACAATTTGATCGTGTGACAGATACGAATGTCAGACAGTCATGTTCCAACTTAACCCACTTTCCTGGTTTCCAAACTGTACAATCCCCCTGAGACAACATCTCCAAATCCCCGCAGAGCGACGGGCAGCTAATGGATGGCTTAACCCCTCAACATGCCACAATGATGGCTTCATGAGAGTGACAGTATTTCAGTTTTCAGCGGACCCCCCTGCAGAAGCCCCCCCCCACCCCCACCCAAGCTGACATGAGTTCAACCTCTTCAAAATAAAATAAAATGCATCTGCTCAGAAACATCTGATTTCTGGACAACAATTCTCATTTGTCCTGTTGCACAACTCCAGAATCTCACATTCACACAAGAGGCTTTGGTTTAACTAAATAAAGCCCCCCCCACACACACACACACCCTTATCAAAGAGGCAACCCAGAGGGAGAGATTAAAGTTGGGATCACCCCAACATGCCACAAGGATCCCCCCCAAAACACACACACACACACACACACACACACACACACACACACACACACACAGAACAACAAAGACAGGAGGAAGCAGCCTCACACCTACCTTCACAGAAGCGCAGTACTGAAGCCCCTCGGCAAGGCAGCGCCTGCAGATAGAAACCAGAGAAAGTTGTTTCTCTTTTTTCTTTACCCCCCCCCTTCCTCCTCCTCCTCCTCCTCCTCCTCCTCCTCCTCTTCTCTCTGACTCTCTGTACACCCCCCACCCACCCACTCCTCTCTTTCTCTCTTGCGTCAGGCTTCAGGGCTGCTCTGCTGAGACAGGCATACTGATGGCACTTTGAGAAGTCAGCATTTTATTATTTTGGCTGTGAGAGAGGGGGCGGGGGAGGTATAGAGAGAAAGTGAAAAAAGGGGGGGGGGAGTGGGGCATGAACTCATATGCTCATCAGTCATTCAATTAAAACTGAGAGGAATCAGACAGAAAGAGAAGTGCTGACATCTAGTGGTTTGACTTGAGATGCACTTTCAACAACGACCCTGAAACTCTCTGCACCTCTGTTACTTTATCTTAAAGTATTTTACCCCAATTATTTTATTTTATTTTTATTTATTTATCATATTTCATCTCTTTTATTGTAAACTTCACGATAATTGGCTTTAATGTAAAACTTCTTGGTAGATTTCATACATGGGTTGTGCTATATCCCATTCAGAAATATAATATATCACACAGTATACTGTATGTCCCTATATCAAGACTGATGCTGTAAAAATAATCGATTTTCATTTCATTTGTATTTTTATTTGATATGTACATATATATCATACAGACATTCATATTACATTTGCGTATGGGTACAGAAATCAAGTTTAATATTATCACTATTTCACATTTTTTAAGTTTCATCTTAATAATAACAAAGGTCGTAGACACAGCAGGTTGCCCATTTATCTCTAGTAATGGACAACAGGGGAATTATCTAAGAAACTTACAGACAGAAGTATTGAATTTGAATCTTGAATTGATGTTTGACAACAGGTAGCAGGGGATTTTCAGATTAAGTTTAATACTAAGAATGTGCCCTATGACTGTGTTTAATGTGAAAGGCGGGTGTTCAGAGTGACAACTCAATTAACTCAATGACCCAGCAGCTCTTTTCAACTCTTTTCAACTTTTAGCTCATAGTTTTTTATTTGTAGGGCATTTTACTCTCAGCCTAGTCTCAGCTGTTTTCTGTAACCCAGCTCTGATAAACCTGCTGTACATGCTTCCTACCCGCCCAGTACATCAGACAGCAGATACACAGTTTGTGACTAGCTGATGGAGAAACTGAAGGATTTAGCAGCTGAAGATATTTAGCAGGTATTTTTCACAGAAGTTAGTGAAGACCCAAAGCAAAGCTGAAAGCAGAGTGAACGTTGGACTTACACTGGTCAGGTGGACAAAAGGACGACTTCAGATGAGTGCTAATGCTGCTTTGCAGTTGCTGGACATGTGAAATCAGCAGCTAACACAGCAGCCATATGTCATGGCTGTGTGTTTACCAGCTGGTTGTGATTCTACAGCCCCCTAGTGACCAAAATACAGCATTACAGCAATTACCAGTGGGTACGGGTGTCATGTTGAAGGAGAGACGTGAACAATGATTCTGTGTAAAAACTACATGTTAAAATGTTTCAGCTTCTGTATGAAGTTTGAACTCTCTCTGCAGATTGTTCAAGACGATTCCTCTGGACAATCCCTATCAGTCTGATATAATTTCTCTCTCAGGTTACTGGTGTTTATCGGCACTCGAGACACTGGTGGAAACCACCTGCAGTTACAAAGAACTCACCACTCCTCTTGTTAAGTACCGTAATTGGTGTTTTTTGGAGCAGTTCTCAGTAAATGTCACAAAAGCTGAAAACAAAAATGAAACCCTTCCATTAAAACCCAGTTGAGAATATTTCCTCCTCCCTCATGCTAGTTTACAGACCTGCCGGTTGCATCAGATCTTCATAAACTCAGGATTAGCCTTGTCATTGTTTAACAAGCGGAAATTTACACATCAATAAATGAAAACAGGTCACACCACACAAACTGCTTCTTATGTAGAGATTAGTTGTTAATGAATAACTGCCAGTGATTAAACCATTAACTGCGTATTTAACTCAACCAACTGACAAAACTAGCATTAGCTTAGATTGACAATGCAAAAAGTAATGAATATGACTATGATTGACATCTGACCTGACGCTGGGAAGGTTTTAAATTACATCACACAAATAAATCAATCACAAATAACGAATGCCAGCAACTGAAAGACTAATGTTTGCTAGGTTAACATAATCAGATTTTGGCTTACTAATTGATTAAAGACAGTTGTCAGTTTGCCCCGTCCCCCCCCCCCCCGCTACAGAGACTTCTTATCACATAGTAAATTAGTTTTGACATTTCTAAAGTTTGAAAATAGCTTGTTAGCTCCTCATAAAAATAGATTTACCAGTACTTGGTCACCACATCTGGCTCTCTGTTTTATTTCAAAACCCACTCATTTCTCTTTTCACCCTGTTTTTCCACCAACTCCTTCCCTCTCAGAAGTTTCACCTTTTTTTTGTTGTTGTTTCTTTCTGAGTTTCTTCTCCTCTGTTCTTTCACTTTTTTTTTTTACTTCAGTTTGGCTCCAGTTCTTCTTCTTTTCTCATTTAAGTTTTTAATTCAGTCCAGTTTTTGTATTTCAACTTTCTTCTATCATAACATCTTCAAATCTTTAATTCCTCACTTCATGATTGTATTTTTTTTATTTTTTTTTTATTTGATGCAGTGTGGGAAAAAACACTTCTGTCACACTGTCAAGTAAAACCATTACTTCTAAGAAGTACCACGTCATAATAAATTTCCCCCCCGGAGGGAAAATGATTGACTACTGCTCCTCACCAAACCTCCATTGTAATTCCCCTGTTTTCCCTGACCAAATAAAGGGCAGTTTTATGGCTTTGTTTAGGATAATGATCCTTAAAATAAATCTGCAATAAACTGCTCATCACACGTCGTCTTTCAGCTCCAAACCACACGTTTTAATCATTTTCTGATCTTTATAGACGGCCTTTGAACCAGTCTGTACACATCTACACAAACCACTCCTCCTCTACGACCACTAGATGGCAGCAGATAGACACTGACAGTTACAATATCTTATGAAATCGTTGCTTCGAAATGGGCAACAGTGTGTTTTGACTGTGCAGTGCCCTCCAGTGTTTGGCACTTTGGCTATTAATCAGCTTCTGAGGGGTTTAATGAGGAAAAACATGCCAAGCAGCGAGCAATAGTGAGCTCATTATTGGAGGAATATATCTATCATGTGTTAAAAACTTTATTGCACTGATGATTAATTGATTTCCTGTGATAGTGGATTCTATTCAACAAAATCATTTCTGCTTTTTTTTTTGTTTTTTTTAGCCTGATAGAGACAGATGTCCGTTAATAAATTAATCAGCGAGAATTGTGCAGACTCTTTGCTAACCTCCTGGCCGACACACTGAAACTTATTACACAACCCAAAATGCCTTTCATCCGTTTCATACCTGACATATTTCACATAGCTTATAGTTTAGGTGGACGCTGGCATCATAGACATGCTACCTGAACACATTCTCTTCTCTTTGTCGTTCGTAGAGATACTAGGGACAACAACAAAGAGAGGAGTGTTCCCCATTCATCCAGTTTTATTTTAGCTAATCCAAATAATGCAGTGTGAGAGTGTGAGCAGTGAAACACCTGAGTTCTCACGCTGCTTGTATCTTTTGATTTTGTGATATAAACACTTTCTTTGTGTTCGTTTTTGCTTTTTTTTTGCAAGTCTACACTTTCCTTTTGTAATGTCCTGATATTATCTATTGCACCTGCAGCTTTTCTATGTGAGTGACGGGTAATCTCCTAAAGGGGTAGCTCACCCAAAACATGAAAGGACAAACAGACAGTGTTGTCTGGGAAAACCTGAAAACAAATGAGGAGTAAGAAACATGACAAAAGCCGATGCTTCCCCAGCGAAGCAGCTCTATAAATGACATGATGTCCTCCATGTGTTTTCTCACTGCAAGTACGCAGGTAGTTTCGTTTTACCTGTGAGATGTCTGCCTCAAAGTGAATACATGAAAAGCAACGAACCAGTGTGCCCCAGTTACCTCTGGATAATCCCCAAACAGCACACTTGACATTTTTTGGTTTGAACTATTTTCTACTAAAGAAAAAGTCCCTATGAAAAACCACTGACAGTGAAATCTAGGGATTATTATTTTATTTATTTAAATTCCCGTATCGGATTAGATGCATAAAGTTTCAGAGACAAACATCAGATAAAAAAAAACAAAAACTATCTTCATTTCCTCACACCAGGGTTTTTTTGTGTGTCTGTGTCACTCGGATGATCTCACCTTGTCAACAGTTAATTTCCCCTTTAATTTCCTTTGAGGTTTTGTGAAACTGTATGTCAACATTTTGCATCTGTTTGACGGAACAACTGATGTTTACACTGAATAAAATATTAAAGCCTGAGATGCCACATTTTCATGGCTCCCTCCGATACATCAAATGACAACGAGTGGATCAATTTCTATTGATTTTCCTGTCATTCAGGCTTTTCTATACAAACTCTGGAGCCTTGACAACGATTCAAAACAAAGCCGTGCAGGTTTGAACAACGTCTGCAGTATTCAGATGCCACCGGTGTGGCACATTCTCTGAGTCTACATTGTTTTATAGCAGTGACGTAATCAAAGTAATATTGTGAAGATATTTGTTATTCTCCCTCAAGATCAGCTTCCTCCTACACTTCAGTTTCACTCAGTGTTTTTTCTCTGGTTTACAGCCACTCCAGAAGTCTAAAATTTCCAGACAAAACTTTTAAACAAATGGAATTTCTTTTAACCAAAAATCCAGTGTGTGTGTGTGTGTGTGTGTGTGTGCATGCGTGGTGCGTGGGTGTTTCCAGTCAGTCACCCAGTAGGGAGGGGGAAGTGCAAGCCAGCTTACTGATCTGAGACAGAAGAAGTGAGTAATATCAAGATAGGGACAAAAAAGGGTGAGACTGAAAGAGTGAGACTGTGAGGATGGATAGATATAACAGGTAAGAGGTCCAGCACAGCTCTTCCACAATCTGGAACAACCACAGTATATAACAGGTTATAATAGAACAGAAAGAAGTATG